TTATGTCTTACTACTAATACACACGTATATAATTTTACTCAAATCCACAAATGTCACACAGCCTCCCTTTTTGTACAAATTCTCATCTTCCCTTTCCTGCACTCTCCTCTCTCCCTTTGAGCACAGAGCTTCCCAGTTTGGTGAGCATAGAATTTCCCAGATCAGTATCCTGACCTGTAACCCACATTCTCCAATTCCACCAAAAAAACCAAAAAGTTGATCTCAATTTGATGAGTTAGTTTCAAATTATGATGATGCTCCATTAGCCTTCTGTGCCTGCAAATCTTTATGGAAAGAGACTTAATCTTTCTCCCACAGAACTAGTAGATTTAAACCAATCTTTTAGTTACAGGGCCAACACGTAATACCTCCTTGGACTCCATAATAACAATCTAGTTGTATTTATTCACTGGAGAAATAACTCCAGATTCACACAATTTTGTTTGGTATTGTCAACTTGGTGCCAGTTCATAGCAAACTTATGTACTACAGGAAGGAATGCTACCTAATCCTGCATGTGTGCAAACATTTTGCTTGTTTTAGTCAGTTTTTAATTTAAAAAAAAAAAAGCAACAAAGCAAGTCAACTATCCAAAACAGTGAGGGTAACTGTGCAAGTCATCTCTCTACATTAGCTAACAGAGATGGTATTGGGGTACCAGGTATCATTTAGTTATCTCATGAATCTCTGATGTGAGCTCCAAAGGTTCAACACACACCAGCAATATCCTAGCTTCCTTTAAAAACTACAAATATTGACCCAAAGTCCCTATGAAACTATTTAGACTTTCAGTCTCCCTAGCTGAATCAAATTGATGACATCAAAGAATCCCAGGCAATACGTGGTTCCTTTTCATAGTCCCATTGCGGCAATTCTGATTCGATTCACAGACACCTCTTATGTGTCACATATAGCACTCTACTCTGTAGGGTTTTCAGTGGCTGATTTTTCAGAAGTAGATCACCAGCTGTGCCTGTGGGTGGAAATGAACCTCTAGTTTCTCAGTGTGTTAACTTGTCTGCACCTCTCAAGGACTACTCTCAGGCCAGCCTGCAGATATTTCTCACCAGAAGATGAAGAGGAAATCACCCTGCTTCAAATACAGCCGTTGTATGAACATGTACGGCTAAGCACAATTATTAACAGTGCATCTAAATTCCAAAATCAATCTCCATAATAGTCTATGTGTTTCCTACTGCCAAAGGGGCCCTTTAGAGTAGTGAGAGAAGATCTTCACCCTGAAACCCACAGCATCCCTTTTCAGCAGGAAGTAGCTAAGAGAATACGCCATCCCCTTTTCCTTATGAATCAGGGTGAAGTCTCTCTCAGGGAGGAGTGATAGGGAATGGCAAAGGACACACTGACAAAGGAGATTAATCAGAACTGGCTTTGAGCACTATGGCAATTGGACAATTAAAACAGACATTCGGAGGGGGGAGGAAGAACGAACTGGGGAGGAGGGTAGAGAAAACAGTGCAACAATGAATGAATGAGAACTCAAAATCTCTGTAAATGTTCATTAAAACTAATAAAATTTAATAATTAAAAAAAGGGAAAAAAATACAGCCGTTGTACTGCTCAGGCATGAAACTAGTACAAATTCCATCTATGGTCTCACAATGTATCCATATTTAAGTTTCTCACTTAAAATATCTGCCAACCAGAGATTTCTAGTTATCAGTAGATAACTGGTGTAGCCAATATGAATTTTGTGTAAGTTTACTGGATAAACAAAATACTTTTAGCCAGGTCTACCTTATTTTGGATAGATACTGAAGCTCTGCCCCATTAACAACCCCCTAACTCCCCTACCTCATCTCAGCTTCTGGGGGATCCACAGACCAACAAGTAACTCTGGCACCAATGACTTAGCAGAGCCAAGTCTCCATATTGCACCACACTGTGTAATCTGGCACAGCCAAACATTTGCTGCACTGCCCTCTCAGCAGTTCATTTATCTGTGATCTGAAATGACATCAAATTTCCAAGGCTGGAGAAAACATTTCCCTTGAGCAAGAAGTTAATTTATTTACAGGGGGAAATGAATGGCTCCCTCTGCCTTCCTGATCCTCCCATAGGCACCAGGAAACAACATTAAGTGACCCTGAAGAGAGACCCCAGACAGGTTTCACTTATATAAGATGGCCTAAAACCAGCCGTGGGTGACAGGGAACATAAATCCTGCAACCCATGTTAATGAGTCTGAGGATTCTTTAAACTGAGGTGTGCCGTACATTTAAATACACTCCCTCTTTACAAGAACTGAGTAATTTGGTTTCTTCCTATTCAGAAAGGGGCTGTTGAGATCTTACATTCAGGGAGTTAGGGGAGGGAATACCAAACCTCCTACTTTAGATAAGCAAAGGTAGGAAGTTATTTAAAAGGCCCAGGTTGGTTTTCTGAATACAAAAAACCCCCTCCCCTTAAACACCCCCTATATTTCATGAAAGCTAGCATTCCTCCCATTTTGTTCTTTAAAAAAGTAATAATTATGGAAAGCAGCAAACTTAATTGTTTTAGGATTGCAAGCAATAGTTGAGATAATTCCCAGGGAAAAAAGATAATTTGGAGGCCCCAATAAAACATACTTATTTTCCAATCACAGCATATTAACTCTAACAACTCCCAATCCACCAGAAAGCATGCTAAGTAATGAGAACCATAAGATGGGGGAGAAAAGAAATATTAGTGGGAATAATTTTCTCCTGCTGTCAGCCAGCCCTTCTTTATAAGAACCATCTCAGTCCAACTTACACTGGTATCTCCCAGGCATCCTCCTCCATCCTGACTGGGCCCTGGGATGCAGCCAGGCCCTCATTTCATTCTTCCTAATATTGCTCAAAATGAACAGATGACTACAAACTCACTTATGGCTATTACTCAAATCATCCATGCATGTAGGAGTTCCTGACACTCAAAAACAATTATTGAACGCTATGTGTTGGGAACTATACTACACACTTTATATGGATTATCTCACTTAATCCTATGGGTTACATGCTATCTCTCTCAATTTACCAATTAGAAAGATGGAGACTTGGATAACTTACTCAAATACATGGAGTTATTTTTGTCCATAACAAAGTTCAAGTTTGAAGCCACATAGTCTGATCCCAATCTCATATGCATGAGAGGGCAGCAATAAACTCCCAGGACAGAAACACACATACACAGGCCACCAACAGCATGATTTTTTCCTAACAAAGATTTCCCTTAAAGATTAGGACCCCCATAATGACTAGAGTAAGTTTATGAAAATTTAAAAATGTCACATGCTCAGGGAGCCAAAAGTAAATGCCATCATTTATGCTTTGATCTCTTGAAATCTAATCAATAACTGAAAAAGCAAGCAAGCCTGTTCAATTCCTTTCTAAACTAGGTGAATTTTATGAAACTTCATGGTCCTTTGCAAAGGGAGGCGGGATAGAAGTGGCTTGCTTCCAAGCCACCGAACAGATTTATTTCATGGACTTTATTTCAGGGTTGATCCTAAACAAAATGCTAATTATTTCATAAAACTGCATACTTCCTAATGATAACTGAAAATGCTAAATTCATATTCCTCATTCAAATATGCCTCGGGTATAAAATGCTCCAAAATTATTTGAAAGGAAAGCCTTCAGGGCAATTTGTAAACATCCCAAGACTTCTGGATGTCTCCAGCCACACATAGGGAACTCTGGTGTCTCCTTGTAAGAAGCTGTGCTGCAATACCCAAGGTTCATGCTTTAAATCCACCAGCTGTTCCACTGCAGTAGATGGAGGGCAATCTCCTCCCTTAGGATTAACTGCTTCTGAAAACCCGCTGGAGGATCAGCTATCGGTTGGTTCCAACTCAATTGAACAAAACCACACTGGAACATAAATGAAAAAAAAATTAAACCGAAGCGGGACAGATTCACAACAGAGACAAAACAATACCCTTTTTATTTTTAAAACTCTGGTCAAACAGGTTTCCATGACATCCCATTTAAAAAAAAAAATTCATGTAAACCAACCTGTGGGTTAGTCACACTGTACAGACTTCATCATAGTGTTTAAAGATGCCCAGATATAGAGTATTTACAAATGCTATCTGTTAGGTAGTAAAGTTTTGTTGCAATTTTTTCCAGCACATATTCCACAGTAAAATAAAGGGGGCATATTGGTATTCTTGTATAAAAATTCTTAACAAATGGAGAGAGGCAATTTTCCTGAGAGAAGATTTGTTCTTGAAATATCTTTAACAAGTGGAAATATAGAAATGGGATGTAGTTGAAAAAAGCTTAAGAATGTCAAAGTTAACATTTTTTAAATTATTTAAGTACCATTAAGTTAAAATGTTTACATTCATTATAAAAACGTTAAATCTTATGCAAATGATTTAACACTGGATTGCTGCAACGCAAATTGCACTTTTTTTAAAAAACATGATTGTATACATGGAAGAATATTGTGTTCACTACCCTGTTTACAAAATCTGACAAAATCAGACACACAATATGAACTTTGAGAGACCTCAGTCACAGTGTACGTAGAATGCAGTCTTACCAATGGGGCAATCGTTTTGACAGGACCCAGCCTTTGAGCCGTGCACAAAGCGCCTCGAATGGGCTTCTCTGTCAACCACGTAAGAGGCGGTCGTGCACGCGGCATAAGAAACCCATGAATAACTAAAATCGACCAGAAAATCCTTTCTTGGCGAGTGTATTGAGCAAGGCAGGCCTCCCTGGGCCTGGTCTCCGGAAGTGCCCTTCGTGGGCTGGAAGCGGAAGTGCAGCACCAGGTCCCACCGTGGGGAGGCAGATGGCTGCCCTGGAAGAGCTTCTCCCATCTTCTTTTGCGTAGGGCCTGTTGGTAAGGCAGAGGAAACCTCTTTGGAAGTATATCACTTTCAAAAATAAAGGCACGGAGATAACACATCAGATGAATGTTCTGCCAGCGTACTTGCCCCTGTTTGGACTGCTTGATAAAATACAAAAGTCTTGCGAGGCCCATGAAGGACTCTCCCAGTTTCCTTGCTAAGGCCCCGGTCCTGAAGCCAGGGCCAGTGCACACCAAGAATCCTGCCGCACGGACGACGTCACTTCTGCTGGGGAGGCCAGGCTGACTCCTACGTACAGCCCGTCCTGAGCCGTGTACTTGAGTTCGTTGTTCTCAGGGTTCGAGCTCTCTCCTGGCCCAGACATCACTGAGGAGGCACCTGCCTGGCAAGACGAGGGGGCAGAGAGAAAGAAGGGGAGAAGGAACAGAATTATTGATAAATTTGTTATCCAGCCCAATCCTAGATTAAAACAAAGACACAAGTCCAGCTGAAGCAAGAGCCACACCCAAGAGGCAGTGGGAAAAACTCCCAAAACAACACACAACACTAAAATCCATAGAGCGGTTTTTAAAAGAGAAAAAAAAGAGTGCAAGCATCTCTAAGTACTGCCTCAGTAACAATGATTACGTAAAGTCTTAGAAGTATATCTTGTTAAATTTAGAACTCCCAGCAGCAGTTCCTGGCAAAATGGACAACTAGGCAAAGGTAGAACTGCAAAAATCCAACTTGTAAAAAATGCCCAATAACTATCCTGGGAAGGTATATAGCCTTTAAATCAGGCTCATCTCATTTCAAAAGATAAACAGAGGAGCACCACATATATATACTCAAATAAACACACTTATCTATGCATATGCACGTGCAACCATTTGTGCAATCCACACACTGGGCATGGGCGTGTGCACACATCTTTGCACTTGCAAACACATACACAAGTCCACACAGTACAGTCAGCAAGCTTAGTAGTTCTGTCAAAGCCCAAAGAGGAATGTTACACAGTCCAACTTTGCCTGATAAATGACATTTTTAAACACTGACTTCATGGAAAATTAACCCATGCATATGCAGGTTTTAATATCTACCTCATTTGCCTTAATTCTTTCCAAAAACAGGCCACATTTGGGCCAGACCACAACAGGAAGAAAATTTTAAACATCCATTATTTGTCATAATTATGGCAAGTAAATGTTCACCTTTCCCCTGTATAATTCATTCCTTCCATTCAAATACAAAGAGGCCAAATAGGAAACATTATATAATTTGGTAGAGTCAAATCAAAATAACTGAACTGTTTAGACTACAGTTTGAGAAACTAGTTAATTTAGCCATAACCACATGCTTTTTAATTGTGCCTTTGTCCCAAAAGTTCAGAAGTTTTTTCTTGTAAGCTTTCAGGCTCCGATTCATAATTATCAAGCTACTTGTTATTTAAGACAGGTGGGACATTATGTACTTTTCAAGGCATTTCTTTTTGCTATATTTTATTACTATATTGTATTAAATCAGTAAAACATCTGGCTGGCCAGCCAAGTTAATGCTGCGTAAGAAAAGCACAGAGAAATGGATGACAACGAGACACAGGCTGAAGAGAACGGAAGGTGGAATCAAGAATGAGAAGTCCTTCCCGTTTGCCTGGACAAGAGGATCTGGTTTTCCTCTCTCACCCTCACAATAACTGCATGAAGTGCCTGCCATGTGATTTTTTTTTAATCTGAGGACCCCAATGTCATCCCAAGTATACAGTCCAAACTTAGCACTTCCATGTGTTGCTTACCCTTCCTTAGTGAAAATGTAGGTTTGTGGGAAATCCTTAACTCGAATTCCTTAATGGTTCAAACTTCAAAACAGAAAGTGCACAAAAAATGCACCAAATTTATTTCAACTAATTCTGCCAAGCAAGTCCAATGTAATGGACATAAAAAAGACTTGGTAACATTTATAAATAGGTGACTTTAAAACACCCAGAGAAGGGGGGTGGGGAATGGATGAAATTCAGTTACAAAGAGATTCTTCAATTTAGAAAAGAACTATCATGAGATGACTAGAAAGAGCGAGCTCCTTATGATTTTTCATAGCCAGCTATTCACTGATGCAGCTATTCTGTAAAAGAAGATATCTGCATCTATCATTGCCCTGCATGCAATTTGACTTCCTCACAACACATACTATTTCAGAAATGGAGACTCCTGTATTGACCCAGGAAGCACCTCACCCAAAATGACCAGAACTGCTGAGACAGCAGGTGTCTACACCAATATCAGCACTAAGAAATGGCATCAAAGCTCTTACTGTGGACAGTCAATCTGGGACTGAGACTGAAACATTATCACTGACTTTCCTGAAGGAACTCCTCAGCTATGTGGACAAGAACAGGGTACACACACGCAAAATGCAAAACTGGCCGACTGCCTATTATGCCCGATAATTGAGCGCTTATATGATGAGCTGAGGCTTCTAAGACAGAGTCTAGTAGCTCCCTGACCCTCTTCATCTGTAAACAGGAATTCCTCCAAATACAACATGTAAGAGATGGTAAGGGAGCAGGAGTAAATCAGCAGAAAATCTAACTGAAATTGAAATGAAGAATTAGGTAATATATAAGGTGGCTTTAACAGTTATGTGTAAAGCCCTCAGAATTGTATATGCCAGTCACAAAGACTGCATTAGAAGCTTAAGCTTAAGCTTAAAACGACCCTTCAGCCCAGGTCAATTACCACAGCTACCAGGGAGGCACAGAAAGCAGTAAGAATCCCTCCAGAGCTAAGTAATAACAATCTGCTATCATCCTGTTCTACTTTTGACTGGCAAAAACAAAAGAGAAGGCAAAATGTTTTGTAGCCATTAAAAAGGATCTTTGCTCTAAATGAGATGCAAATCAAAACATGAGATATCATCTCACTCCAGTCAGAATAGCAACATTTAACAGAACAGCAAGCCTTATTCACTATTGGTGGAAGTGTAAAATGGTGCAACCACGGAGGAAAGTGGTGTGGCGCATTCGCAAAAAGTTGCAAATAGAGATACCATTTGACCCAGCAATTCCAATACTGGGAATATATCCCAAAGAGACCATAACTGCCATCTAAGCAGATATATGCACACTCATGTTTATCACAGCTTTGTTCACAATACCAAGGAGTTGGAAACAACCTAAGTGCAAATCAACAAATGAATGTATAGAGAAGCTCTGGTGTATTCACACAATAGAATACTATACTGCATTGAAAAACAAGGAACTCATGCAATATTATTCAAAATGGGTTACCCTGGAGGACATTATGCTGAGTAAAATATCTCAGTAACAAAAAGACAAATACTGCATAGTGCCACTGTTGTAGAATGGGACTGACATCAGGGTTGGGGTAAGACCGAGAAAAACTGGATAAATTATGTATACTAAATTGAAACAGATGAGGGAGAAAACAGTTTAAAAGTGATATATGATAGGGTATTATGGTTATCACAAGAGTACAGAATGAAGGTTGCATAGTGGAGCGGGGTGGGGTGGAGAATTGCATATCAATGAAGGAAGTGAACTGGGGGGCAGGGAGAAAAGTGCAACAATGAAAGAATGGAAATCCAGTATCTCTGTAAATGTTCATTAATTTTTTTAAAAAAGGGCTCTTTGGCCTTTTTTCTTTCTTTCATTTAAGGCACTAAAAAAACCCCTTAATATCAATATTATTCACATGTGGTACTACTGCTATTCATTGCCACTGACTATTAGCTGACCCTCCTGCAGGCTTTGAGAATCTATAAATCGCACAGGAGGGGATTGCCTGTTTTACTCCTGTGGAGCAGCTGCTGGATTCAAATGGCCTGCCCGACTCCTTACCCACTAAGGCCACCAAAAATCCCACACATATAACTCACAGAGCCCACAGAAATTTGTCTTTTAAAACGTGAACACATTTTAGGCAGAAATCCAAATATCAAAAGGCAGACAAGCCCCAAAAGGTTTAAGTAATGCTCTTTGCAAAAAAATAGGGAGCTCTGTTGGCCTATTGGCAAGAAGCTGTGCTACAATCCCAATGGCATGAGGTTTGAAAGCACCAGCTGCTCCTCCTGTGTAATTAACCACATCTAAAAACACAAGGGTCAACTATGGGTTGGTTCTGACTTTATGGCACACAACAAACAAACCATTAGCCAAAAATGAAATTACTTGTGCCCAAGATGTGATAGTATTATTTTAGAATGGTGACTATTTAAACATGAAAGCCTGCCAAGGAAAAACTCATTTGTTCCTATAAAAAACAATGGGTACTTGCACACCCATGTTTATTGCAGCTTTGTTTACAATAGCAAAGAAGTGGAAACAACACAAGTGCCGATCAAAAAAAAGAATAGAGAGAAGCTGTGGTATATTCACAGTGGAATACTATGCTGCATTGAAAAACAAGGAACTCATCAAATATACAAAATGGATGATCCTGGAGAACATTATGCTGAGTGAAATATCTCAGTCACAAAAGGACAAATATTGCATAGGGCCACTGTTGTAAAATGACTGCCATCAGGTTTGAGGGAAGGAATGATGTATACTGCATTGAAACAGATGAGTGAGAGAACTGTTTACAAGGGATAGATGGATGGGTATTCTTGTAATTACAGAAGTCCAGGGTGAAGGCTGCATAGTGGAGTGGACTTGGGGGAAGGGACTGCATATCAATGAGAGGTTTTTTGTTTTCTTTTTCTTTTCAAGGAGAAGAATGAATTAGGGGGAAGAGGTAGGCAGGGAGAAAAGTGCAACAATGAAATGACTGGAAACAAGTCTGTAAACTTTCATTAAAATAAAAAAGGGGGGGAGGGGGGAAGACAATGGGTACCAAAGGCCTAAACTGTGGTGGATGGGTTACAGTTTGGCAAACATCAAACACAATATCCCAAGAGCCCAAGAAGTTGACACCCTATGGTTTTCTTGTATCATAGGAAAAGAATTCCAAGGAAAGAAAAAAGATAGACATCCACTGCAGGTCACTTTCATCCACATGAAAGCCTTGGAGGCAGAATGGAGTGCCCAGGAATCGTGTGCTCACATCCTGATCAGTAGTGAACAATGCTTCACCACAGATGTGTAAGGAAGCTATGTTTGCTTTGTGTAGCAGGCACTCCATCCCTGTCAGGGATTACTAAAGGGCTTTGATACTGTAGAAAGGTGCTGTGGGGTTGTGCAGACAGATGCCTGCCATAGCTAGAAGAATCTTTGAAGTGGTTTAAAAAAATGTGAAACTGCTCAGAGGATTAGTATGTAAGTATGAATAAGCCCTATGTAAGTACAAATAAGCCCATGTTTACCTGTTTATTAGGTAATCTGGCATTGCATGGATGTTTCTGATAATCTCAGAATGGTTTGGAAAAGCAGGTTAATCCACTCAAAGA